CTCCAGACAGGACATGCCCACTTGCCTTCACCTTTCCACACAGGTCTTATTTTCCAAACCTTTTATCAGCTTTGTGGTTCTCCTCTGAACGCTCTCTGTTCAGTCTATGTCTTTTGTGAAATGCAATGCTACAACCTAAATGCAGCGTCACCAGAGGCCAGAACCACAGAAGGGAAAGGAGAAAAGTCACCTTTGGTGGTTTTGCATGACATTTAACTTACATTAACTGCCTTACTGCCATTTGGAAGAACTAGCAGAAACGGAATGTCTAAGTGGAGTCTCACCAAATCCTGCTAATTGCATATACATATGCAAAACTGGCAGCATTAGCTTCTGTGGTTCCTGAAGCGGATCATTGCTGGTGGCAGCACCATTCCACAGTTGAGGCGTCCTTGGGGCTCTAGGTCCAGCTGCCCAGCTGCCCTCCCACTTTCCAACACCAGCAACAACAGCAGCACAATAAAATGCTCAACAAATCAACGTTCTTAATTATCATTCACTTCCAGCATATTTATTAGTTCTATTTTCTCTACAGATAGTCAAAGAAAGTAAGAAAAGAAACAGGCAAAAAAAAAAAAATCACCACATAGATTTTTAAAGATTTTTCTGTATTTCAGGAGTGTGAGAGAGAGAGAAACAAAGAGGCAGGCACTGCCAACAGGGTCTTCACACTGTGATCCACCCCAGCCAAAGCAGCCCAAGACCATGGGCATGCATGTCCCTGGCTTGCTCAGGGAGGTCTCCTGATGCAAACCCAGAACCTTCCCATGTGGGTCGTCCTGTCGGAGTGTCATGTTACCATGTCTGGCCAGGAATTTTGCAAAAATTCAGGTTATGATGGGGTAGATCTGAGATGAGACCTAAAACTCTGCATTTCTAGAGAGTTTCTAGGTGGTAACTGTTGCCGGTCCTTAGACCACATTTCAATTCTCAAGGCTCTAGAAAGAATTGCTTTAAGGTCTACATTAGCAGGGCTGGAATCTAACCAGCAGGAGGGTCAGTGCCCTGAGAAGAAGTAACTAGAAGGACACAAAGCCCTCACAGGCTGTTCAAAAGCAGGTGCACGCCATATTCTCTTGTTCAATGTATGCCTTCAAAATGCAGCTAAGGAGGAAATGCGATTTTTCTACACCTGCCCTAAAAAAACCATAAAAATTGCTTAATATCTTTTCCTATTCAGTCACAGTAAACCAAGCACAGAGGAACTTGACGAATTTAACGCATAGCTTTTTTTTTTTTTTTTTTTTGAGAGGTTTTTCGCTTTAGGGCCCGTGCGCTCGCCAGACAGACAGAGAGAGACATAGAGACAGAAAGCGAGAAATCACCCCCCAGGGGGGATGGTCACGCTGCAATCCCTTCTCCTCCATTCTCCTCTCGGGATCTTGGGTACGCACGCACACGCACCCGGCGTAAGTTTTAAGCCACCAGGTCCGGGACGCGAACCGCAGTTGACTATGTGGGAATCCAGCCACATAGCCATTATGCTAACTGCTGGTTCCCAAGCTTTTAAAGCTATCATCTGGATTATTTTTAACATCTTACATAAGGAGTTACTGATTTATATCAATTTAAGTGTGTTAATTTCTAAACTGGATAGATCTTACAGTTCTTGTTCTTGTCGCTTTTAATTTTATCAGTTTGTCCATGTGGAAATTACTTCACGATTTTACGCTTACATTTGGGACGTTGTTACAAGACGAAAAACGAAAATGGTCAGTCAATTTTATGAAGTCAGTCAACAAACCGTTCAATGCATCAGGATAAGAGCAATGTAATGTGCTGTTTTGCTCAATTTTAAACACATTTTTAAAAGTTTACAAGTTCATTTAGTTAGAGTTTCATACCTTGGCAGATTATGACACAATAGAACATACGCTGTCTCTAAAGCAAGATATTTATGTATGGATTGCACTGAGTTCTCCCAACAAGATTTCCTCAAATGCGTGTTTCTTTCTTTCATCCATGTATTCAGCATATACTGATATTTTCCCTCTGTAAGGGCATGTGTGCTTGACAAATATAGATGGGGGGGTAAGTAGGGTGAGAAAGTACCCCTCTCAGTGGACAGCCATCCTGCAATCCATCCTCCTCGTGGAGAATTTCAGGTACATATGCACACATGCCTGGCATGGTTTTCAAGCTGCCAGGACCATGAACCATGCAGTCAGCCATGTGCAATTCAGCTGCCTCACACAATGCCATTGGCTGGCCTGCGTCACATACTGTAATGGCAAGACAGCTATTGAGTCACTGATTTATTTTCATTTTATAATAGAAACTGCTATTTTAAAAGTACTAGGTACAGACTTGAAGTTAGGTAAAAGAGTATCTTTTTATTATGAAAGAATCATTGGAACTTTAACAAGATTTTGACTCTCTGACATCTAGAGGCCTCAGTTTTCAAGGCAGATGCAATCCTGGCAGTTTCCTCATGTATCTAACCATCGGTATGTAGAGACGTTTGCAAAGAGCTGAGGTGTTACACCATAGAAATGAAATTCTAAAGCCCACTGCTCATTTCATGGGTTGTTAGGTAATTTTTTAGACTAATAATCAAAGAAACAGTTTTCAAATCATAGTCACATCCTATGATAGAAGCACATACTTTAGTAATCTTACACTACCTTTAGGATAGTTTTAAGTCTAACTTGAATTTCATCTTTAGGACTAACCTCCAAAAGACTGCACATTCCTGAAAAGTAGACACCATTATCTTCCTTGTCTAACATACTACAACGGACATGCCAAATAAATGTTTGTTGAATGGACTAATGATTGCATCACAATCTCTTGTGCCAATTTTATTGCCAATTGAAAGGTTTAACTTGACATAGAAACAAAATATTTAGGAGCAAAAGGCTAATGTAAAGTGGGTTGAGGATATCTAGGACAATATTTTAAAGGGAAAGAACTAAACTTAGTTGGTAGACCAGGGAGCTGGACAGATGCCTGTTTTGTTGTTTTTCTTCAGCACTAGGTACTATTTAAAAAAACTCGATGCATACTCTTGAAGGCATCTCTGATATAAAGAAGCTATTTTGGCAAATATATCTTTTATTTCATTAATGATACTAGATTGTTATAAGAATTATTCATAATGAATTTTTCAGGTGTCATACCAAGGAGTTTTTCAGTCTTCACAGGGCACTTATCCCTCTTTGGCACATCTCTGAATATATGTGCTATCTCCACCTACTAGCCTAGTTTTGTCTCATTCTTAAACTTGGTAGAAATACCTTAGTAACCTAGATCGACATTACGGTCAGCATTAAGACATTCTTGAATTATCCACTGATTTGAACAGGAGAGTGGAGTAGTTAGACCAGCTAGTGAGTGTATCCTACAGAATACAGAAACAGCAGATATAGTAATGCAGAGCAGGTGTGCAGTGTCCAAGCAAGAACCGTGTCTGGATGAGGCATCATGGCATCCAGGGCCGAGACTCAGACCTCCTTCCCCAGGTGTGGCTGTGGCCGTCCTGATGGTAGAGGAGTTACTGAAGTACTGTCTCTCCATTACTCACTGGAAATCTACCAAGGAGGAAGGACCATTGGGAAGCCACCCAAGGAGAAGGTACCATGGAAGGGATTGAAACTCATGGGGAAACTGACCCTAGTAAGGAAGCCTAGAAGCCTGCCAAGAAAGTTGCACATCAGAGGGCCTACTACTGATGAAAGCTACCATCTACCATCATGCCACGTCATAAGAAAGAAACGTTCTAATACCACACTGAGGCAACGAAGGGTAGATCTGGAGTGAAGAGAAGAAAGATTAATAACTGAGATACCAATCCAATACCAGACTCTCCCAATCTGTCTGTTCCTGCAGATATTTTTTAAGATATGTAGAAATCTTAGAAAATATTATCTAAGCTTTATTAGGTATTGATAAATATCTACTATTTATCTGGTATCACTAGTATTTATTAAATATTTTGGGGGAGTTTTTTAGCATGTACTATATTTGCCTTTTTACTAGCATTAGTTTATGCACTTCCTCTTGTTTTAACTTATGTTTTGATTTTCTATATGTTTTTGAATGTTTTATTAAACTTAAAGGGATTAAAATAAGTATAAATTATTCAAACTAAATATAAATATATATCAGAAATTTTCAAATTAATCTTCAACATAATTTTTCTAAAATCTACATGATGTAAAAATGATGAAACCAATTTTCCATATGTCATTTTGGCAACATGACTGTCATTCATGATGAGGTTTTCAATTCCATTTTGATACTTGCCCAAAAATTTGCAATGAATATGAATAAAAAGTTTTATTTTTTCAACATACGATTTTTTAAAAAATTAATTAAGAATAGAAAATAAGCAGAACACTACTGTGTTCCCAAAATTAGATTTTACTCTCTCTGAATATCCTCGTAAAACCAGACAGAACAACTGTACACCCCTAAAATCCCAAGGACATAATTCTGCTTCCAGTTAGTATGTAAGACAACCTCATTGTTTCTCTTCTAACAACGATAGCAAGCTGAATAAGATAAAAATTATTTGTGTTTTTCTTTTGTTTTATATTTTTAAACCATAACAGAGCAGAATAAACAGGACTAAAAATAAAATAATTACATTCCAGAAGACACAGAAAGTTACATTCCACAAAAGAAGAAACCCATAACTGCTTTCCGGCAAGAAGAGAAGGGATTCTCTACAGATGGGGAAGGAAAAATGAGCCACACTTTCAGCAATGTTCAAAGTCCCCATGCAGCCTGGCATGAAGGATTAGCCTCTGGGGGAGTCCTAGTAACATAATAAGTCTGCATCCTCCCATCAGCCATTTCCCACAGGCCTTCATTGTGTGAACAAAGGATAGTGTACTTAAGCCTGGGGGAGGGCAGGAGAGTCAAAATAAATCCCTTTGCTCTGGTGCATTTCCCTAAGTCCACACATGGGACAGGTCAAAAGATGAGGAAAATCTCTTTAGGCACATGGTGCTGAGTGAAATGTAACTCACCTCTGAAGGCTAGGGACTTACCTGGAGAGCGGAGGAAGTCCTTCTGAGGCCTCTGAGCCTTCATCAAGGACACAGAAATGGCCCTAGGAGCAGGGCGGCAAGGCAAAAAGCATTCTCCTAAAGCAACAACAACAACAACAACATCAACATCAACAAAATCCCAAGGGGAGGTCTGGGGAGCAAAGGTAATTGCTCAATAAAATACAAAGCTGGTGGCTAGGCTGTGAGGCAGGGAATGGGCTCCTCTCTGAGTTTGAAAGTTGGCAGTTTAGCTATGAATTATAAATGCATGCAAAGCCTCACAAGTGCTGAGACTCAAAGTTCTACTGAAAATAAAATCCTGATCCTGCCCTCCAAATATTTGACAGGTGAGGTGAATGTAAGTAAAGCTTTAACAAAGCTCAGACCCAGCTCACAAGGAGCTCAGACCGACTTAGCCCCTGGTACTAGCAACCTGCCAGGACAAGAAAAGCTCATGTTTTTTTTCTTGGGTAGATATTCTTTTCTTTACTCTCTACTTTTCATATACCTGTCTAGCACAATGTCAGATTCTGATACATAAAGTAAAAAGCAAGAATGGATGGCCCTAATTAAAAGAAAAGAATTAATAGAAAGAGACCCAAGAATCCCTAGATCTTGGAATAAATAGAGAAGCACTGTAATATAACTAAGGCGTATCTTTGAAAGGCTCCAGTAGAAAATTGGACAGTATGCTTGAATAGATGAGAAATTCCAGCAGAGAAACAGAATCCATGGGAGAGTTCCACTTTTGTCTTGGGGCACCGATTTCCTAAAAAACTCACCTTTCCATAGGTAATCTCTACAACTTCTGGCAAAATACAAATCAAATACTGGAAGATTATGAATAATTGTCAAAACAAATAGACTTTGAAGAAAGAGTTGAAAAAAGAGTAAGTGAAAACTGCATAGTAATTTAATGCTTGTGGCCCTTCCTAGCTGTGATTGTGGTGGTGGCAAAGAGAAGCTGAAACTCCTTAGAAAGCTCAACATATGTCTTGGCAAGCTATCCAGGACAAAGCTCTTATATGAGCACAATAGACAGGAGAAAGCCTGGAAGGAGAGGGAGTCTAGACAAATCAACAGATTCTGTCCCCAAGATAATCCAAATACCAGAATCAGTACTAAATGACGTTAAAGTCATTCATATGACTGTGTTCAACGATGTGAAAGAAAATATACTCCTAATGAGTGGAAAGATAGGATATAGTAGAAAAATTGAAGGTCACATTTAAAAAGATATATTTTAGGCCAGAAAAATACAATATCTGAAATAAAAATCCCACTGATAAAATAATAGAAAAATAAAGATTACAAAGTAGTCAGTGAGACTGATGATTGATTCCAATACATTATCCAATATGAAGAAGACAATTTTTTTGAGAGATTTTTGCAATAGGGTGCGTGCACTCACCAGGCAGACAGACAGAAAGCAATAAATCACCCCCCAGAGGGGATGGCCACGCCGCAATCCCTTCTCCTCTGTTCTCCTCTTGGGATCTTGGGCACGCACGCACATGCGCCCAGCGTGAGTTTAAGCCACTGGATCAGGGACTCGAACCACAGTCAACTACATGGGAGTCCAGCGACATAGTCATTATGCTAACTGCTGGTCCCATGAAGAAGAAATTTAAGAAAAATTAAAAAACGACTTAAAAATGAACAGAACCTCTGGTATTGAGAAACAATGTTATAAGAAAGTTAAATATGAGTATTTGGAGCCACAGAAGAAAAAAAGACATAATAAGGCAGTTAATATTTGAAGAACTAATGGTGAAGAAAAATTTCCCCAAATCGGGTGATATACTGAAATTTACAAATTGAAGAAATTTAGTGAATCCCAAATAGTATAAACTCAAACATTGCTTACACACATTTTATATACATATATATATATATATAAAACAATTAACTTTAGGTTTCAATCTGACCAGATTAAAGAATACCTAGAGAACTGGGACCAGCAGTTAGCATAATGGCTATGTCGCTGAACTCTCATGTAGTCGACCGCAGTTCAACTCACAGACCCGGTGGTGGCTTAAACTCACCGGGCTCGTGTGCGTGCGTACCCAAGATCCTAAGAGGAGAATGGAGGAGAAGGGATTGCGGTGTGGCCATTCCCCCAGGGGGTGATTTCTCACTTTCTCTCTGTCTCTCTGGCTTTCTGGTGAGCACATGTGCCCTATAGCAAAAATCTGTAAAAAAAAAAAATAATAATAATAATAATAATAATACTGAGAGAACTAATAAAGCACTATTTTTGGTGTATCTATAAAGGGGTTTCCAGAGAAGACTGATGCTCGAATCAGTAGATGAAATGGGGAAAATTCACCCTCAATGTGAGACGGTACGATCTGATTGGTACCTTCTGACTGGCTGGGTGTCTGGATAGAACAAAAGAGGAGAGCAAAGCCTCCTCTCTCTCTGTTTCTCTCTCGGTCTTCTCCTCGAAGTGGGACACATTCGTCCCCTAATGTCCTTGGACATCAGGATCCCACGCTAACCAGCCTTGGGATTTACACAGGCCAGCCCTTCACATTCTCAGACTTTCAGCCATGACACAATTGCATCATTGGCTTCGCTGGCTCTGAGGCATTCGGGCTTGCACCACCTTCCTGGCTGTCTAGAGTCTCCAGATTGCAAGATGTTTCAGCCTATTTAACCAGTTGAGCCAACGTCCCTAATAAATCCCTTCTCATATAGCTGTGACTGCACCTGTACCTGAATCTGTGCCTGTCCCTGCCCCTGTGTCCGTGCCCGTCCCTGTACCTGTTGATCTTACCTGTGCCTATACTTGTGAGAATACCCTGTACTTATTACTGTGCCTGTACCTGTACCCGTATCTATCTCCACCTCTGACTGACTCTATCTCCCTGCTGGTCCTACCTCTCTGGAGAACCCCAACTAATACAATATCAACCTATTAAACATGAAGTATTAAAAATGCCTTTGAAAGCACCCTGAGAAAAAAGTGACACATGGCATACAAGGAAACAGTGATTGGAAAGATTTAAACTTCTCATGAGATATGTATACGCCAGAAATCTGTAGAATGCTATATTTAAAATGCTAAAAACCTATGAAACTTAAGCTGTAACCTGAACGAGGATGCAAATAGTCTGATTTTCAGATGTGTCTGGAGTGGCATTTTATCTGTCTTTATCTAAGCTTCTGACTATTCTAAATGTGTTAAGATAGCTTTCTGTAATAACTGAAATAAATTTTCCAACTTCTAATCTCTTATGCCTTTCTTCCCTTTGGTTCCATGAGACTTGCTACCTATCGTTCATTATTTTGTCTTTTTTTTTAATCCATGCCCTCACTTATTTTTTTTTTCAGAATTGTTTGCAAGAACCGGTTTTAAAAATAATATTTATCATAATTTCTTATTTACATATAATAGCTGTACATCTTTTGGGGTATAGTGTGGTTGGTTCAAGGCTTGTATATAGTGTACCAAAATCAAATAAAAGACAAACATATTTACCATCTCCAACATTTATCATTAATTGATGTCTTTTAATGAGTTGTCTATCTGAAATTCTTACAAAATATTGGCTCCTGTCACCCCATGGTCCTCCCTTCCTCAGGATTTGTTCCCATTAACTCCTTGCTTTCTTGGTAGCTCTCCAATATCTTCAAAATAAAATTTTAATTTGTTTCAGCTACTCTCCTTGTTCCCAAAGACAGCATTAGACTTTTCAAGCTACTCCATTATTCTTAGCATTGTTATTATAAAATCATAAAAATTCTTTAGTAAAATTAAGGAATACTATATAAATGGCAATATATACCACAATAATAAGTTGAAGAATTTAATATTATATAGATATCATCTCTCCCTAAATTTATAATCAGATTTCTAAAATGTGTGCAAAAGTTAAAAGAACAAGACAGGATTAAAAAATTAGGACAAGATAGTACAGCAGGTGGTATGGTGGTTAAGTAGCTGGATTCCCAAATGGGTGAACATGGTAAGAGTCCTGGACCCCATGGCTTGAAAAATCACACTGGACACAGTTGTATGTGTACCCAAAACCCCTGGAGGAAAGTGGAGGAGAAGGAATTGAGACATGGCCATCATCCCTGGGGGGTAATTTCTCACATTCTTCCCTCTCCCCTTTGTCTCCTGCAAGTGTACATGCCCTACGAAAACAACTAAGAAAGGAGGAGGAGAAGAGGAGAAGGAAGAGGAGGAGGAGGAGGAGGAGGAAGAGGAGGAGGAGGAAGAAGAGGAGGAGGAGGAGAAGGAGAAAAAGAAAATAAAACAGGATGAAAAATGTCCTAGCAGTTTAGGACACAAAAATGAAAAATCGGGTCTAATTTTTTGGTAGATATTTACAGAAAAGATTAAAATATTTAGTAAGTATAGGAAAGGGTGAATATTCAAATTTATTAGAACTATTTAAACCACAAGTAGAATTTATTTCACACCTATTATCAAGTATTGGTGAGGAGACAGTGATAAGACTATGTCAACACTTACAGAAAAATCCTGGAAAAATAGTTTATTAAGTATGATTACCTAGATTCTCTCTTTCTAGGTAATTCTCTTATAATTATGACCCATAAAATATTTGTACATGTTCTCCTGGGACATACACATATTATTCACATTAGCATGTTTTATAACAGAAACAATAAAACTAAAATATCCACATATCTGTCAGCAAGAGAATGACATTTGTGGTGTAGAGAATGCTGCCTAGCATTAAGGGAGCCACACCTCACACGGCCAGGTGCAGTCTGAATTCTACCCTGGTCTCTGGAGACTGCTATACAACAAAAAGGAAGAAGTCATGGCGAAGGGCCACAACATGCAGGAATTTCAACCATTCCGAGTGGAAACAGACAGTTATGAAAGAAAACAAACTTACAATCACATTATGTTAGGTTATGTAGATGCATGTAACTATGAAAATATTATAAAAATCGAGGTGGCAGTTATTTATAGGGAAAGGAAGGGAAGGGATGCCTCTTGATCCTTCTCTTTCTTGATGTGTTCGTTAAAAGAGTGTAGGCTTAAAATTGTACAACCTATTTTGTGGCACGCTTCTTCATGAATGGTATTATTTCATACTAAAAATTAGTTTTATAAA